CTTCCTAGTAGTAAAAAAAGAAGGCTGTGAAAATTGTAGCTCTTAATATTAGAGTAAAGTAGCTGATTGTGGAATACTGTTTGGTTTTTTGAAAAATAAAAATGAAAACTTTAAAATTATTATGCACATTTTGGAATATAGATAGCGGGAAGTGTTGCAAACAAAAAACAGAAATAATAAAAATTATAGAAAAAAAATATGTATAAAAAATAACTTTTTTTCTACCTGAAAAATGGGTGGGTAATGTGGAATACCTGTTTCGTGTTAATATATTATAGTTTTAATTGATAGAAGTGAGTATTGTTGAGCAATTTAACAATTGTATAGTTTTTGTTTGATAAAAAATTGGGATCGCGAGGGCAGAGGTTGTCAGGCAAAATAATAAGAAAAATAGACAAGAAGAAAAAACGTCTGTCGAAAAAAAGAATTTAGATTGGAAGAATTAAAGATAATTAAAGATAAATTGGAATAGTTTAAAAAGGCTTAAATTGTTTCTGGTAAGTCTGACAATCACACGTTATTATTTTCAATAAAAAGAGACAAATAATATATTGCGTGCAATTATTCAAGAGAATCAGCTAACAAAAATATACAGTCCACTTAAACCAACCAACAATACCAATATACGCTAATGTGGAATACCAATATACGCTAATGTGGAATGGGTTTAATATCGGACTTGATATTAAAATAATTTATTTTTTTAAAGTAAAGCAAAAGATTATTGAAAAATAACATACATTTATTTATTCCATTATAAAATACGAAAAGCCTCTAATGTGAAATATTCCACATTCAGACCGTAATTCGTATTCCACAATAGCGACTTTTTAAATATTTGTAAACAATGTTTGTAAAACATTAAAAACAAAATATTTAATGAAATATTTACACATTTCACAATCATCCACTACCTACCTTTACGCTTATACACCAATCTTGCAAAAATTTCTATAAATGGAGTCACAATAGATGTTTATATAAACACGTGCAAAAATGTAGCGACCGTTACAATTCGTTTTAAACCAATATTGGCAAGCGACAGCCGCGAAATGCTCTATGGTGTTGCTAGGGGTGAAACATAATAGAAAGAGTTTCTGATTAGCGTATTGGAAGATATATGGCGCTATTAGTTTTGCCGCAAAGGAGGTAGGTATACCACATTATAGGCAGTATTCCACATACGGCTACTTTACTCTAATATTTAGAGGTCGCTCATCGTGAATTTCTATTTTACGTTTAAATAACACAGGAATTCTTTTTTCTTAACTTTGAAATTTTATAACTCGTTTTTGAGTGAACGTATTGGAATGAACTCTATATATTTTTGAAGAAAATTGAACGTTCTACAAAAAATGTCTCTTATAATTTTTTCGTAAATTCACTCCTTTAATAGTTATTCAAACGTAAAATAGAAATTCACGATGAGCGACCTCTAAATATTAATATTTAGAGCTACAATTTTCACAGGCTTTTTTTATCACTACTAGGAAGATATTTCAATGCGGGCTTTGAAGAAAAAAAATATTCGATTTTTTTGAACCAGTCTAATGTATATATTATATAATTATACATGTATCAAGTTTAATAAACGCCATTTTGGTTACAAATTTTAATTAGACCCGAGCGAGCTTGAGAACGAGTTTTTAATTAAATAAGTAAAAAAAAGTATCTCCAACTTGGGAATGTGTATTACTGGCGCGACAGTCAAAATGTCAAATTTTTATACATTTGTCGTGGAAAATGTATAGTATGCAACTCGTTTATAAACTTTTCTAGACACTTATTTAATTAAAAACTCGCTCTCATGTTCGCTCGGGCCTAATTAAAATTCGTGACTAAATTTTGATGTAAACATGGGTAAATCAAAATTTATCCCTTGAAAATGGACCAACAACCGTTTAAATGATGTTATAGAAGCAGTTTTTCACTGTGAAAGTAAAGAGAATGTTTTTATGGGCACTTCAGGGTGTAAACCCTAATGCTTTCAGTTTAATCTAGTTTACTTCCGGCAAAACAAACTTGAATACCTATAAACTTTTCAAATGGGTATTGGCGTTGAGAAAGTATTTATTACTTTTAATTGTTGTATTAAGATAATAAAATAATTTCCACATTCTTATTTCACAAGAAGGGCACTTATTTTAACGATTGTATGACATTTGACAAATGTCAACTAACTTAAAACTATAAATCTTGAAAAAACAAAGAAAAATCAAATTTAAAATTTTCGTGGTAATTTTTGTATAAGGACTTTATTTTTAATTAAAAAACAACCTTTTCCTATAAAAATTTAAAAAAAAAACAATATAGGTACTGTATAAAACTGTAAAATACACAGGTTTTTATATGGGTTTGATTTATCGGCCCGACAAAAAAGGGCGTATTAACGACAAATTTGGTCATTTCAAGGCTTTGTTATCTATGATTTCAACGACAAACAAATATGTATGGCGATCAAACAAACTTTTTCAAGATAAAAAAATTAATTTCAATGATATTTAATATACATATATTTTATACTATACGAGGGGTAAACCGCTGAGGTAATTTGGTGTACATGCTTAAGGTAATACTAAGGAAATACGGGGTAGTACAGGGTAATATACAGAAAATACTGGGTAATATGTTATAATGCAGGCAATACAGGGGTAATACGGGAAATACTAAGGTAATACAAAGGAAATACTGAGGTAATACGGGGGAAATACAGAGGTGATACAAGGGTAATACTGAGTAAATACAAACTAAACGTATAGATAGCGTATATTAAACGAGATATTAAACGAAAACACCGAAAACAAACAACCAACAGTCAATTATCAAGTCAATTATTGAAACTCCTGAACTAACATGTGAAACAAAGTTTGATGACTCCAGCAAAAGTGCAGGTTGCAGTCAAAAATCCGAGCAAAAATCGAAATTGGCAATGGAAAAATATTATAGAAAATATTAATGCAAATCAAACCCTAATAACTCAATATTTAGTAATTACAGGAAAAATATTAGAAAATTCAGAATTCGTACAAAGCATTATTAAAAATTTAGAATATTCTGACGAAGGTAAACAAGACATGACTTATTTTTTTTTTTAACTTAAAAATTTCCTTGGAAAATACAAGCGGGCCAAAAAACTAAAATAGGTATGACAAGGCCCTGAAAAATTTTTCAGTATACCTATATTTTTATGTTGGTGGAAGATTGCTTTATGAGACCTTACAAGCTAATCTAAAAAACTGTTTGCCCTCTACATCTAAATTAAATAGGTTTATCGATAATAAAAATGTTCAAAGAGAAGAAGGAATCATTATTTCAGTGACCTGTCAATTTTTTAGAAAAAAAAAATGAAAATGATATGGGTGTCAAAAGACGTTACTTGAATAACAGGAAAAGTGGAACAAAATACTTGGATTTGTTTCACCCGATCTGCATTTAAAGGACTATTCTAAAAAAGTTTAAGCAATAAACCGAAATTCTCCTTTTGTACAAATTAAACTTAAGGACAGAAACATTATTGTCAAAAAGTCGTCATTTTGTTGGCTTCTTAAATAATATATATAAACCGAAATTCTCCTTTTGTACAAATTAAACTTAAGGACAGAAACATTATTGTCAAAAAGTCGTCATTTTGTTGGCTTCTTGGCGAAAATTACGGCAAGGTGAGCACAGACCGTTTAAAAAGATTTATTGTAAGAAAAAGTGAAAATAAAAAAATCTCGAAAAAAACAGAAAAGAAGAAATCCTCCAAAAGAATTTTAAATAAAAGAACAGAAAAACAGATCAAGTCTCGTCCTCAACATCTACTACTGATGATGAGCAGGTCGAATTGGATGACTGAACCGACACTGAAAAATTTAGTTCTGAATGGGGTTCAGATTCGGAACCTCAACCGAAAATTTCTAAGGTCGAAACCCTGAAAGTTAATTTAGAAAGCTACTTTGCTCTGTTCTGTGATGAAAAATGGTATCTTGGCCGCATAATCGAAAAATGCGACAATGATAATTTTAAAATGATGTTCTTAAAGACTGAATTGGACCATTATGTTTGGCCACGGCCAGATGATGTAAATATAATAAATAAAATGTATTTTTTCTTTGGGCCCATGCAATTGTTGGGAAATGGTCCATTTCAATTAAAACGATCTGATGTGCTTCAAATAAATATAAAACAATAAAAAAACTATAAATTAATTTTTTTGACAATTTTTCATATTTTTGAATAAAATCTTTTTTTCCATGGTTTTCTTTTCGCCTTTGCATTTACTTTACTTTTTTACCTCCTATTTTTATCGAAATCCATATCTAGCTTCATAGCAAGGGGAGGGGGGGGTCAAAAATTTCGAAAAACTACGTCATGTAATACATGGGTATAAAAACTATGGTAATTACAATAATTGGACATGTGGAAATTTTATTAAATCTTGAAACTTTAGGCTATTCTAAGAATTTTTTACAAGGGAAATTTTTAAAAATAAATAAAAATTAAGGGGAAATACGGGAAATACTTGGGTAGTACTAGTATTTTGCAGGTAATGACCAGGTAATACTGGTATTACATGGGTATTGCAAGGTAATCCCGGGTAATTTTATTGTATTACTCAGGAAATACTGGGTACTACAATGAAAATGGGAAATGGTGTACAGCTTTTTACTTAGCGGTTTACCCCTCGATACTATATTATTAATGTATAGTATTGCAAGCCTAAATAGAGGTTTGTAAGCCAAAAGAAAATATCGCACGTCAAAAGATAATATTGCACGCCAAAAAAAAAGAATTGCCCGCAGTGGCGGCCCGTCATGGGAGGCAGGTGAGGCAGTGCCTCATCATAGAGAATTAAAAAATTAAGTATAATTTAAATATTTTACTTTCTATAATATACTATAAATTTTTAATATTTGGATTACATGAATTGTGAAATAGTCAATAAAATTGATTGATTTTATACGTGGAATACAAAAAGTTTATATACAAAAGTGCTCTTTAAGTTCCACCCTTACTTCCTAAGAAGTCCCAGAAGCCAACTGCGCGGGCTTAAAGTCCCCCCGAAGGACTATTAAACAATAGGACAAACACAAATAAACAGCCATACCCCTGATGGGATTCGAAGCCACGACCTCCGGCTTGTAGTCAGCAGCACTAACCACTAGTCCACCGTCGGCGATGCCCAGCAACATTTAAATTATTTGAATTTGAAACTACCGCAATTTAAACTAATATTTATAGCTAGATGATTGGCTCAGAAGCATGCCTGAACTAATTTAGACTCACGATTGGCGTTAGCCTTGTTGTCTCGTTCTATTACGATGCGATATCATAGTTGCCTCCTTCTCTCGTATTAGCATACGCGAGGCAGGCACGCCTACATCCAAGGAAATAAGCGGGTGTGTGGCAACACTGTTGCGGAATTTTAGATAAATTATACTTCACAAGTTTTTCAAAATTCAATAATAAATGGTATTATTTTTCTTATAATAAATCGATTTAATCGAAATTATATTTCTATTCTAAAATAAACATATTTTAACACTATCGCCATCACAGTTACCAATAAAATTAATACAGATTCCTTCTTTAGGTTTGTTTTGGTTATACAATAGGGATGGGCGGTTATTGTAAAAAAACCGGTTAACAGTTAACCGGTTATTTTTAAAGACCAGTTAACCTAAGACAGGTTAACTGGATAGAAAATAACCGGTTATGCAATAACCGGTTAATAATAACCTTTTCTGGCGACTTTTTAGAATAATTATTTTCTACACTGGTGTAAGTAAGTGAAGCAATATTTAAAACTGATTGCTTAAAAAGAACACTAGCAAACACCAGTGCAGGTTATTATAGCATCAACAAACAGACCATATGGAGCTCCAGTACTTAGTATCAGTAATAAGTCCTTGTAATTGTAATAAAAGGATATTATACGATTACCTATATGGTTAAAATAAAATCCGACATGTGTATTAAAAAAAAAATTAATACAAAAGCGCTATCTCATTTTTAGTCTATAAACAAATAATGAGAAAGTTCCATGATTGCCAATCATTGATTGGTTTGTCAGGTCTGGTGAAATTTCTCCAGATTTGGTGATTTTATTTTATTCTGGTGATTTTGTAAAAACTTTTATCAGCATTTAGCAGCTCAGTGTTTTCTATTTAGCAGATTATTCGAAAGCATTTTAAGAATAACCGATTGTCGGTTATTGAAAAAAAATAAACCGGTTGACGGTTAACTGGGGTTGATGAATAACCGGATTTTAACCGGTTAACCTATAGCAAAATAACCGGTTATCAAATAACCGGTTAGTTTTGCCCATCCCTATTATACAATTCTGAACTGTTTAAAGAACAAATCTGTGGTTATTTACGCAATATTTTGTTTATTCTTTTTCTATGAGTTTGTCTATTTTATGATTCTTTTGTAAGTGGTTTATTCTGTGGGTTTAGTTAATTGAACTTGGTGATTTATGTGAATTTAGTAATTATGGATATTACGGTGAGAAATTGTACCGATATTGTTGACCTTCACGTGGTTCTTGCTGAACAATGAAATATTAATTAGACAAAAATGAGGTTTATTTAACATAAACGTCATTTTTACAATAAAATATATTTCATTGACAAAGTAGAGGATTCCTTCCCCACCACAAGTTTTTTACTTAGTTTTAAGTATAGGTTGTGAACTGCGAAGTCAGTTTTTTTAAGTTGGGTTTAAAAAAATTTCTTCGCCTTTAAATGAGGGCGAAACCCTGCCTCAGCCTCACCAAAATGAAATGTCACGGGCCGCCACTGATTGCACGTCGAAAGAGGTATTGCACGCCCAAATAGGACAACAAAACACGGAAAAAGGAACATTGCGCGACAAAATACTACTTCGAAGTTCGAACGACCCATTAGACAACTGACCTATACATTACAGCATTCCACGATTTTAAAGTTTATTTAACAACCAAATAAGATTTTAAAATAGAAATTAAATTGGTAATCTCCACTGGAGTAAAATTACAATTTATGATAGTTCTGATTCCGATTCGGAAACACAAGCAAAGAAAATGAAAAAAAAAATAAAAAATGCAATAAAACTCTGCGTGTATTACTGGTTGCTGCCCTAGGTACTGGAGATTCCTTTTTATGTCTTGTACCCCATGTATAATCCGTTTTTATTAAAAACGTATTATACCTTATTAGCTTAGACATACAAAAATTCAAGTAACGTAGGTATTAGTAAAATACACGTTGACAAAAATAATGTCCAAATATGCAAATCCCCAATTCATATAATTAAAGTCCAAAAGTATATTACTCACCTTCTACAAACATTTCTTCTTCATTTTTATTTTCATTAGCTTTTTGTCGTTTTTTACCCCCAGTCATACCAATAGTTTCGGCAAATTTTTTAAACTCTTCTGTTAATTCTTTCCACTGTGCTGGCTTTAAGCGACTTACAGTAGCAAACTGAGATTTATTTACACCAACATGTTTTAACCTTACAAAAAAAAGTTAGTAATATTATTATAAACCCAAACAAAACTTACTTGCAAGCTGTAAAAACGGCAGCAGCCGCATACTGTGGATGATTTAAATCTTTTATTTTGTTATCAAAATTTTTATATTTATCAAAGATATCCTCAGCTATGTCCTTTACAACTGTACAACTCATTTGTACGCATAATTCCGATATGCTCAACTGTTTATTTAAGTCTAAAACTTTTTCTAAAGTGTTGTGGTTGTTGTTATACAAACTTTTCTTTAAGCCTGACAATTTTATAGCAGTTTCCTTATCAAAAGGTGTTCCTAATAATATAGAGGCCAAATCGAAACATAATATTGTTTTTGCGTTCTCGTTTAAGCATTTTATGCTCCCTTTGTTGCTTAGAACTCGCAAAAACTCCCTGGTTTTGCTATAGAAAATATGTAAACATAAGCAAAAATTGAAAATGTATAAAAAATATTAATTAATTACTTAATAACTGATTCCTGATACACTCCTAAGCGTTGCGCAGTTTTTTGTAATAAATTATCATTTGACATTATAAAAATTAAATATTAAAACACGATATACGGTTTAAAAACAAAATTCAAACTTTTAGGTTAACACAGATACAAAATACCGCGAAATAGTTTGAAAAGTATCCACTTAGTTTCTAATGTCAAATTTTAACATTACAGGAGACTGTAAAGTAAAATTGCTAGTTTATTATTCAAGATGTAGATGGCGGTTGTGAAAATAACAAAACTTAAAAAAGTTTAAATGGTAAAATCAAAATTTGTTTAACAAATTGAGTACATTTTGTGAAAATTTACCCTAATTACAAAAATGACACCCAATAGTCCCACCACGTGACTGATTATTTAAAAAAAAATATTTTAAATTTTTTAATTAATTTTAAATTTTTTAATTTCAAATTTAAATAACTTTTTCTACTCCCACCAGGGCCGTAGGCTGGTGCAGGCGGTGCGGTGCACCAGGGCCCCCGACCTCAAAGGGGCCCCCAAAACTAAAAAATCGTAATTTTTTGATATCCTATCCTATCCTAAAGTTTTGCACCGGGGCCCCTGAGTCCGTCGCTACGGCCTCGCTACGACCTTTTAAAAACACATTGACAAGTTGTGGCTTTACGGCGCTTTAGTCTCGGGCTGAAGTTAGCAACAGGTTTTTAGTCACGGGCTGAAGTTAGTTTTAAGTTAGTTGACAGTTGTCAAATGTCATACAATCGTTAAAATAAAGTGCCTTTCTTGTAAAATAATACTACTTAAATGTGAAAATTATTTTATTATCTCAATACAAAAATACAAAAATATTAAATAGTTTCTCAACGCCAATATTTGAAAAGTTTATATGAACATTGTACTGACCTTTTAATTTCGCCGGCAGTAAACTATAACTTAAATTCGGGCACGGACTCTACTGTAAAGTCCTCATAAAACATTTCCTTTACTTTCACTGTGAAAAACTGTCAATTTTCAATATACATTTCGATTTATAACCTTTATAATTGTGTTTATAAAATGTAAAAATGTGACATTTGACAGTTTCCCCTGTTGTTTCATAGATGGCGCTCTATAGAAATGTTTGATTTAAATCATTTTAAGATAATAATAAGTATTTGTCGTAGAAAAAGTATAGGTAGTATAGTATGCACCTCGTTTATAAATTTTCTATACACTCATTAATTTAAGAACTCGCTCGCAAGCTCGCTCGTGCCTACATTAAATTCGTGTATAAAATGGCGTTTATCAAACTTGATACATAATATACTATTATCTTCTAACATAATGCAATATTAATTTTTAGGTTATTTTCGGTTTTTTTCTTAATTCCTTTTTGCAAAAATTTAAAAAGATATGTTTTGTTTCGTTAAAAAAATCTATAAAATTAGTTTTTGCAAAAAAATATTTGAGCACGGGCTATAAATCTATACACTCTAGCAGTGCTATAGCCTAGCACTAGCACAAGTTTTATTAGGGATTCCTGCTGTGTTAATAACAATTTTAAATGTTGTATATATAATTATTGTAAATGTAAATTAAAATAACTTTATTGGAAAAAGAAAGATGTCATATGTAAACACATATATTATATAGTACTAGGCAACACTGTAATTAATAAACCCCCACTACAAAATATCCCACCGACTGCGCCATAAAGTAAATAAGACCAGAGTAGGTTAAAGACTGATTTATTAAAATGAGGTGTATGTATAGATATATCTTGACTAGCATGGGTGGTATACCTACATATACCTATACCTATAGGTACTTTTGTAGTGGGGATTTATTAATTACAGTGTTGCCTAGTATTATGTATAGATATGACACCTGCAACACAAGTAAGTAAGCGTTAAAAGGCTGTTTTCCGGTCAGAAATTTTTACTTTCCTAGAGGAACAATTATTTGTGAGAACCAACATAATTTTTGGAGAAAAAGAACAAAACTTTAAAGTTCAGTTTCTTTATTTTTGGATAACTTATTTTAAATATGAATTTTCCAGTTTTTCAATCGCAAGATCAGAATTAAAGTAAAGAAAAAAAGAATGAAGAGCCTAAAATTTAACAACCTGATTTGAAAAAAAAATAGACAAAGTAATTTAGTTACATGCCAAAAAAAATTACAAAAAAATAAATTTTTTATTTTATAATTATACTTATTTATACCTACATGGTAAATAAATTGGCACCGAAAAAAACCGTGTGGGCCAAAAATATTAGTCGGAACCGGACAGAAGTATTTTTTTGGAACCGTACCTGAACCCGAACCGAAATTTGTCGTTTCTCTCGGAACCGGAACAGGACAGGAACCGTTATTTCATTTGGGTCCGGGTCCCTGTCCAATATTTCATAGTCAATGTTTGTGCTAGGTTGGCCCCATATTGACGTACAATGATTATTCAATATGTAATTGCGGCAATTAAATTGCCAATGGTTGTCTAAGGTTAGCCCGGGCTAACCTTAGACAACCATTGGCAATTGCCTATAGGGCTATATATATATTGGCGTAAAATAATTATTCAATATAGGATCATTGAAAATGGTTGCCCAAGGTTAACCTAATATTAGCCCTATATTATCGTAAAATGATTTTTCAATATATCATTGCCAATGTTTGTCCAAGGTTGGCCCTATATTGGCATAAAATGATAATTCAATATATAATTACCAATGTTTATACAAGGTTGACTTTATATTGGCGTAAATTAGTTATTAAATTTTTTATTACCAATTTTAATCCAAGGTTGGTCCAATATTGGCGAAAAATGTTTATCCAATATATTATTGCCAATCTCAGCAAGCACAAACATCCTTAGGACGTCCTTGGACCAGCCTTATGTCCCAGACTGGGATAATCCTATAAGGACGTCCAGAGGAGATATCCCGGGGATGTAATTTAAGGATGTCCTTCGACTAGCCTTAATAATTAATTAAACATATTAATTTTATTTACTTAATTAATAGGTAAAATGGCCAATATTAAACATAACTGCTACACAAAATTCTAAAAGCAAAACTTATTAACTAAGTTATATATATGGTTGCTATACATCTCACCGCTGCTTACCCACGCTTTATAACTATATATACCGATAGGTTACAAATATCAGTTGGAGATGTGCGTCTGTGATGACACAGCTAAACAATGATTGGAGTGGGGCTGATCTGCTAAGTAACAAATAATGGCTAAGTTAATCAAGTAAATTTGAGTGCAGACTCACTGCAGAGGATTTCTTCAGGATCTACATAACCCAAGAACAAACAACTTCGGGCCAATGTTGGGTTTCAATATTGGACCATGCTAGAAGAAATCTGACGAAAGATATTTTGGCCCAATATCATCAAAGGAATATTGGGCCAATATCTTTGTGCTACTACACCTCTTTTAAACATACCTTAACTTTATAAGAAATTCTTGTTTACCTTAAATACATATAATTCTATTCTAATTGTATAAATAAATCGAAAATTTACTATTTTTTACTCTTAAATAACTTTAATAATGTTGATATTTAAACCTTTATTAGTCCTCTGTGCGGCCGAGATCGGCCGTATCATGCATCTGTTTTCTTCCGAATGCGTTCTCTCTTTAAAGTTTTGCGCACACTGCAAGTTTTTAAAGTCTCTAGCTAGATTTGTCGAGTTGTACCCATACCAAATTTTGTATACGTCGGACGTATAAATAGCCACTTCCAAAAAAATAATCATTTTTTTTCCTACGAATAAAGAATTTCCCCAAGTATTGGCATCACTGCTTGCACTGTGTTACGTGCACGCAGTTGTAGCGATGTTTTCATATATCCTTTTGAAGGCTAGTATACTAGCCTTCCCTGGTAAATATATTTACCAGGGACCCAGACCGCACCGTTTTTGAACAGAAAACCGGACCGAAACCGGTATTTATTTGTGGACCGGAACCATAACCGAACCCATATTATTTTTAAATGTAACTCTAGAGACCAAACCCAAACCCTTTAAATTTAAAACGGTTTTTTAGGTTATTTTGGTTTTTTTTCTTAATTTCTTAGTGCAAAAATTAAAAATATGTATATTTTGTTTTCTTAAAATAATCTATAAAATTAGTTTTTATCGTAGTGTTTGTTTTGTTTAGTTTTATTCCAACTGTTTAAATAAGTGTTTCGAGTTTTTTTAATTTTTATATTGGACAACGAGTTTTTGAGGTAGGTACATTATTCTTTCTTACTTTACCTTTATAGTCACTTTAACATTTAAGTACCTAAAATAGCATTGGAAATATCGCCTAGTGAGAAAACAATTATTTGCGAGAACCTACAAAATTTTTGGAGAAAAAGAAGAAAAAAAGCAAAAAGACCAGTTTTTTATTTTTGGATAACTTTTTGCAAATATGAATTTTCCAGTTTTTCAGCTGATCAAAAATAAAAGTAAAGAAAAAGAGGATGAAGACAAAAATTTACAAAAAAAAATTGTCATTTTATAATTTAAGTATGTACAATGTACATTGTACATTGTACATATTTATACATGCTAAAAAAATTGGAACCGAAAAAAACAGTATGGACCGAAAAGATTGGTCCGAACCTGACAGAAATATTTTTTTTGGAACCGTAACTGAACCCGAATCGAAATTTGTCTTTTTTCTCGAAAACGGGACCGGACAGGAACCGTTATTACATTTGGGTCCGGGTCCCTGGTATTTACCACTTGTAAAATATCTCCGTTATTTATGGCCGGATTTTAATAGGCTTAAGTTTCTTGCAATATTTAATTTCAACAATTTTTGTGCTAAACATTTAAAATATATATATATATATATATATATATATATATATATGAGGCATTCCATGTCAACTCGGCCACCCCCTCCTGTGCAAAATTGACTAAAGTTTTTCGAAACGTGCAACTGATAAATTTTTAGCTTATCGTCTTAACTTTCAAATGCCGAGTGGTATTTTGTAAAATTTCAAAATGGCGGTCTCAATATAGTGACTGCAAGCAATATACATCACTTCAAAAAAACCGTATTAGGTAGTTTACATTAAATAACAGCGTTATAAAATTAAAAATTGAATTTGATTATATGCACTAATCTATTATCAGTGATTCTATGTTTTTTTTACCGCTAAATACACAATGGTTCGCCCC